TAAAAGTTAGATTTCTTTATAAGTTGAAAATTAAAAATTTTTTAGAGTGGGCAAGGAGAGTGGGTATATATAATTGGACACTTGTGGTACTAACAATATGAACAAAAAGCAGAGGTGTACAACTAGATGTTACAGTAGCCCCATATACAAAATTTCAATGTTTTACGGCTCCTCATTTTTGAGTTATGTGACATACATAGTTACAGATGTCACCAAAAAAAAAATCCATTTTGAACCCATTTTACAATCCGGTTTGAAATAAAGCGTATTTTACTCTGTTCAAATGTGCAAAAGTCACACAAAAAATAGTCAAAATGGGTTCTGGAATGGTCAATATAGATATTTCTGCTGATATCTCATAACCTACATAACAATTTTGAACCTAATCAGTATAACAGTTTTACTAAGAGATGATTATCAAAGATTTTCCAAGAACTTTACACATGTACAAAAAATATTTATCAAAGAAGAAATAATTAAAATATTTAAGGCTTTGGATATCAATATGCGGCACATAGTCAGAAAATGAAAAAAGGTTTCTGCTTTTTTTAATGATTTATGGTGAAAATTCTGCAGGTAACAGAAATCAGCATTGTAATTTGCTTTTTTAATATTACTTAAAATTTTATATCTTAATGAATAAAATTATTGAAAATATCTGGTTGTAATGAAAGCTCTGGTTCCTGCCAAAAACGCTGTTAATAAAGTTAGGGGAGAAAAAAGATGAAAGCAGTACCTCTAGTACGGGTAGTAATCACCACTCAAATCTATGATTTTTCTGCCAACGTTTTGGTAGTTCCACTTTGGTGCCAATGCTTTTGCCCAGTAACTTGATGGCTGCGAGCCCCAAAACAGATGAACCTCATTTCTGATGTCAGGTGCAGAGTGGAAGACAGCACCAGCAAGCTGTAGATGCTGGTGTGAAAAATGGTAGAATTCCGAAGAAGCAAGGTCAGTGTTATATGGTGGGTGTGGCAAAAGATCCCATTTGAATCCGTACAGAGGAATATGGTCTTGCATTACATCTTGATGGAACATAACCTTTCTGGCACCAGAACTCAGTTCAACGTTTTTCTCTCGATAGCAGCGTCAGCACCGACTAGCATCTTGCTGTACACACTACTGTCAAGGGATTTACTTTTTTCCAGATACTTCTTGTGGATAACATATGGCAATCCCACCAGAGATACAAAGCATGAGCTCTTTGTCAGTCAAATTGCACTTAGTGATGCTGCCCTTCTCTCCACAATGAAATAATTTATACTATGTGATGCATGAAATAATATTGATATATTCAACAAGGGCATCATATAGTAAGAATTACTGAAGAGGCAAAATTTATTTTAATGAATCTGTTATAGAAAACAAAATGTTATCCGTAATATTTGAATACTATTTTAAATATGTTTTAGTTTTGTTTTATTTTAACATATGCAATGGAGTGCTGACTTTATATGTATTGGTATTATTCAGAAAATATAACTTGAACACATTCTTTTCCAAGGATTATGTTCTATAAAATACCCCAAAGTAAATATCAGTTCAGCATTCAAGGTTTTATGAAGAATGGTTCAAAATTGGTAACTGAGACAATTTTAAAGATATCCTTAACACTCTGTGAAAAAATATCAAATGATCGTTCTACATTCTCGTATAACTCTTACTTGAATATTTATTAATAGTATTAGTCAAATAATTTATCATTTGAATTATATTTAGTGGAAAGCCAAATACTACACTTGAGAAATTTTTTGTTGAATGCACTAACTCATTAGCTAAAGAACCTTGGGAGTAAATGTTCGAACTGGTTTCCAGAATCTACAGAAGGCTATTGAAAGCATTGAACATTTTCTCCTAAATTTCTTGGGGTTATATACATTACTAAAACCTGTTCAACTGCACAGATGATCAACAACAAAATGTTGCGAAAAAATTCACAGATGCAATGACATTAACATAAACTTTAAGTTTGCAAAGTATTTGAAAATAATCAATGTATATGCACATTTTCTGCTAATGAATGAACAGCATCATGGTGAATCTGTAAATGTTACTTTGTTTCCTGAGCTAAAAAAAAGTAAACACTTTAACGCAGAAAAATTAAATGTTTCCGAAAATGAAAATCCACTATAAGCCCAAATGGAATTGTGGCGCCTCTATTTTTCAAAACTGATACTTATCGAAAAAACGCTAAAAATTATATTCAGCAAATATTTATTAATAATATGAAAGTATGCCATTTTCTTAACTCAGCAGAATTTTAAAGATGTACATAAAAAAATTATTATCAAGATTTTTCAAGAATTCTTTGGAGCAGCAGCCTTTTTCAGTACTTCACTGCATTTTTTTTAATGTAATAATATACCGCTAAATTTGCGTATATTAAAAGAATAGGCAGACATTTCTCAACAAACCATAAGTCTAGAAATCTTTAATGAACCTTCACCTCAATCTAGAAAAAAAAATTCAGAGTTCCAGTTTGGATTTTGGAATAAGAATACTTTGGAATATATTGTTTGTTCACACAAATTCTAATAAGGCAGTATTAAATTATTTACATATTAAAAATATATTTATAACAGAAATCATGAAATAATGGGAAAAGTCTGAAATTTGAAGAAATTTTATAATACTATAAAGTCCAAAATATGGAATGATTTAATATTCATACTACCAGACAACCAGTCTAATAAGTAAATAAATTTATAAATAAAACTAAACTAAAAAGTTAAATTTCCCTTCCTGCTTACAAAGTTTAGGAATGGGGAATATGATGGAATCAACAAAAGAAAAAAGATGTGCCATAAATGTGATTTTTCTCCCTACCAACTGAGATTTCCCACTGGCATGTCACTTTCAAACACTGCTGGCTAGGGAGTGGCACTGCAGCCAATGACAATCAATTGATTGACATACTGATGTTGGCCAAGATAACACTTTTAGCTCTTAAGTAGTTGTGGGGCAGCTTAGCAGTTTTCTATCTGACCTAAACAATTAGTCAATAGTGTCCATATGTCATTTTACTAGATTTAAAATCTGGAAATTTCTGAAATCCAGAATCGCATATCACAGTAAAACTTTCATCCTACTTAAAAACTCTTACAGGTTAATAGACTTAATGAGCTTTATTGACTTGATAAAAAGTTTACATAAAATTGTCTGTTACTGCCAAAAAATACTATTTAACTTTCTATCTTATTTTGAAATAGAACTGGTTAGAGGAAGTTTGCTCTCCTTCCCTTAACTTGCGAACTTGGACAGTGCTGTCATTGGCAGTAAATAGAAAGACAACTAGGCAGCGACTGTGAAGCTGCTATAGCATAAAGATCTACCCCATCTGTAATCTTACATTCTTTGTAATGGTTTTATGTTATATTTCTAAAGTAAATGCTATTAAGTAACTTGTTTAGTCATTATTATGGAAGGAAATTCCCTTTCTTGTAACATGATAATCATTAAGATTAACCTAAAACTACTTATTTGAAAAATAACTAAATAATTTAATTAAATGTACATTGAAGAGATTTAAACAGCTCTAGCTTATAAATTTCTCGCTTGTACTCTATCACAGGCCCTTTGGAAACCAATTAGGAAAAAAAGTACACTACTAATGATTTCATACAGTAAAACATTTTTAACGAAGATCACCCATAGAAACAAATGATTTAGGTGTTTGGCCAGAGACATTCACCTTACAGAAGTCATGTTATATATTGGTTAAATATTGATGTTTACATCCTAAGAAATACTTATTATTTTCAGAAGTGTTCACCATGAGAGGGTATACTACAAATGATATACAGAACTGTATAAATTTAAGGTAAATATTAGAAAAATTTTTTGTTTAAATATCTGAAAATAGGAAATATGTAGTAACATTCATGTTAAAATTACATTAAAATAATATTAAATTTCAAGAGTTCTAGTTAAGTTTTGAGAGCTGTTATTGAAACACATTTAAACAAAGGAAAATGCAACTGGTTGTAATATCTATATTAACAAACAATAATTTAGTATTCAAGATATATTTAAAAATACAGTCAAAAGTCTTTAATCCGGATCTCAAAGCTACAAACTTTCTGCGCATGCGTTTACGCACGCAAACGTATAACGGACGGTATAAGCTAAGCTAAAAACTACCTAATTATCTATTTCAGCTAATGTTGCAGACTATGTTGTTCCTTAATCTTCTAAATGGATCCGGCTTATTATTTTTTGTGGACTGTTAGAGCAATTTTATAAAAGTAAGCTTGAACTTTCAATTAAGTCAAAAAAGAATTTCCGATTCTGGAGCTGCGAAAGGATCTACAAAGCGAAAGCATGTTTCGATGTCTATCAAACAAAAAGTGGAATTGCTGCAAAAAATGGATATCAAAAGCAAATCCTTTGTTTCTCTAACCATTCCAAAATCTGTTTATCAATTTCATGCTGCTCTGCGGGGGGGGGGGGACGTCGTGGCGCACAGTGAACTGGAAGTTGATCTGTCAGCACTATCCTTATCTTCAGGGCAGATGTTTTTATTTTATTCGGCTTATAATTCCTTACTAAATGTAGTATTTCATCTCGATGTACTTCGTTTTTGATATGATTTAAATCAAATTCCTCGTCATTATAAATATCACGAATGCACATCAAATACTTTTCTGGTTGCAATTTTCTAATTTCGACTATGCGTAATGTATGCTTTACGCATGCGCATGTTAAAAGAAATGTTTAATAAAGTAAACAAATAAATATTAAGCTTTTTTTTTGTAAATTTTGATACCCTTTAGATCATAATTGCTCTTTATTTCATAAATTACGGTTTCATATTTTTAATTTCATAATTTCTGCATGCCATCCTACCAGATTTAAATTGATGATCTATAATCCGGAATCGCCAAAGTCCCGAAGAGTCCGGATTAAAGACTTTTGAGTATATATAAATACTTTAAAAACGAAAACATAAGGTAAATGCATTCAATAATAGTTTATAGCTATAATGCAAATGAACCACTCACTTTGCAATGCTCTCTAAGTTTTCGAGGTACTCTCTTAGGATTATGAGAAGCAGCTCTTCGACGCATATAATATGGCAATCTCTGCACAGTTAATTTGGAAGCTTTACATGCTATTTCGTCTGCTAAAGATGAAATTTCCCTAGCACGGCATTCTGCAAATTTTAACACACTAACAGCTTTAAAGGAGAAATAAAACTAATTACAGAAAGATACAATAAGCAAATATATTTATAACTATACTTCCTTGCATGCATATATTAATTAAAAATAAGAAAATAAAAATTTTACATATTTCATGATGCACATTAAAAGGTATGTAAACTTTTTTTTAACATTGCATCTATATATTAATTTGCCTAATTTTTAACTCATCATTAAAGAAAAATCTAATTTTTAATTTTATATATAAATGAAGATTTTATAGAATTAATAAAAGTATAATTGGTTCACAGATATCTGATATTTTGTTTGCTAAATTCTTTACTTATTTGTACTTCAGGATTATACAAATTAATCATTAGGAAGCAATTTGATAAGAATTCTCTTCAAAAGACAAAAATATATTACACAGTTTCTTGGGTGTTATCAGTTGCATTTATTAAAGAATGGGAATTTAAGTATGACTCCTTATTGTTGCTGCTGTTGTTACTTATGCTATGCTCACTAGTCTGACAGTAACATCAGTTTAAATCTACAAAATCCTCGTGACAAGGAGTACAAGTTTTATGCCTGTCGTAGCCAGCAGCCTTGAGTACCTTACAGGTTGACAGTGAGATTTTGTTCAGTTCCGCCCCCAGTCTTGATGGAGAGCAGGCAACGGGTCTAAGGACCTCCCACCCCTCTCTTATTCCCCCAAACCACATGAAATGACTTTTGTCACATATTTAGAGTGCTGCCATGTCGCACTGACGCTATACATTTACAAACATCCATGCCTTCTCCAGGATTCGAACCCAGGCCCATCATCATGGCAGTCCGCGATGCTAACCACTATATCAGTTATACTTATTAAATTTTGAAATGATGTATTCAATTTTCCATATCTAATTTAAAATATGTAAATTGGAACAGATTATTTTTCTCAATTCTTCAAATAACATGCATAATTAATAATAATAAATAAAACTGCATATATTAAAACTACAGAAACACTGTTGCCCAATTAAGTTTGTGGATAGTAGAATGGCTGCTATATTTTTGGCCCCAGATTTGAGATCTGGAGAAGGAATGGTGAGATTACCATAGCTGTCTATGCATTTTGTGAGTAAAATATTGAAAGCCCATTATGCATTCTGAAAATGGTTTTTAATAATGAGACAGCTACATAACTAGTAGATGCAACCATTGCTGATATTAGAAATGAATGTACTGTATATATTTCTGAACTTCTGTGTATTAATTTTGCAATCAAGTGGATAATTAGCCAGAATGGAAGTGGTTCCAGCTATTAATGTACGGATTCACTCTTCCTGGATCTCTTCAAATACCTCTTTATGTAATGATATTATTGTCATTACAGCAGTCTCTCGGAGATTGGAAAGGGGTTTCGTTTTTTACATTTTCCGTGGTCATTCGGGTAATTATGGAAACGAGAGAGCTGATGCTTGCTAAGAATGCAACTAAAATGATATTACGTTGTGTAAAATTCCAAAATTTATTTAAAAAAAACATTCAAAGGCTTAAAATGATGAGCGTGGAACTGTGATTATCTTCTGAAAGGGATCTGTTACAAACATTCTTCCCAAACCCTTTTTGAAAGACTGAAAAGTAAGGACTTTTGCTCAATTTAAAGTACGCAATTTTGTCTGGACATGGTAAGTTTTAATGTTTATCGGAACGATTTTAAGCTGATATCTTCCAGTTGTGTAATTGCAATCTTAGCGTTGAGCAAAGTTCCACCTTTTTGATTGCCCACTGCTTGATAAAGCAAGAAATCTTTTAAATGGAGATGAAATTCATTGCCGCCGAAATGTTATGATTTTGTATCCTCGTTTCGGCTACCGAGCTTTCAATGATTTGTGACTTTTATTTTAAACACTGTTAATGATTTCTTTATACATTTTTATACTTTTGATTTACTTGTGTTTTTTTTCCTTGTTATGATTCATTGTATTGTTGAAAAAGATGATATTACTTACTATCTGCCTTTTTCATTACGATTGTAAGCTCGTGCGATACTTTGTGGTGCAGAGGATTTCTTTTCTAAAAAAAAAAAAAAAAAAAAAAAAAAAAAAAAAAAAAAAAAAAAAAAAAAAAAAAAAACACCATTGCTGATGAATATTTAACTAGCAACCATCCAGTCATTATATTCAAAAATAAAAAAAATAAAGATATAACATCTATAATTCATTATTCTACACCAGCACATTCTTAGAAATGACCATATGTGTTTATATGTAAGTAATAACCTTTTCTGGAATTGAACTAACCTTCATGACATTCAGAAGACTGAATGTAAAATTTGTTTATGACTTAAAATTACTATCATAAAGGCTTTTAAAGATAGAATCAAGATATTATTGCAAGTACATGGTTTTGTAATAAATTGAATGCACTAGTCTTATACTAATTTAATAAAATTTATTCCTATCAACAGAAATATAGCAGAGCTCTGGAATTTCCCTCGGAGTTATTTGTACAAGTGTTCTGCAATATAATCAGTAATTATACTTTAAATTACTGAATTCGTTAAATACAATAGGCACATCTAAACAGAAAAAAACTTACTCGGATTTCTCAATTCACATGGAAATAACAACTCACAACAACACTAATTAAGCAACTGAGCTGAGATGTTCTCTCTCTGGCTTTTTATAGTCTTCAACCGGTTGGGAGATATTTCAAGTAATTTCTGCTTTTCAAAATTACTGGAAAGCAATATGAGGATGGAATTACGGTTACAACTAAGTAGTCAATTACATTTATTCAATTTCAATACAAATTACCGAGATATCCATTTACTCAATGTTAAATACACATGCCCCTGTGTTCTTACTTTTCTGGCATCGCTTCTCTTAAAATTTGTCTCGTGCTGCATTGCACAGAGAAATACAACAATTTTAATTATAATTATACTAAAATTAACTATGCAAATATAAAATTTACATCCATATTATGAATATCTTCTGGGCTAATTTTCTTTTCCTTCATTTAAGTATCATAATAACTAGTTTGAATACTTCATTTAACATTTCCAAACAGGATACAATCATATTCAAATGTTGAGAAATAAATGCTTCAGCAAACAATATTTTGCCATCCATAATATATAATACAAAAAAACCTTGCACTATAATTTACTGAAAGAAATAAAAGTTCCAAAAATTTAGGAATCAATCGTTTACGTTCCATAGAAATTTTCACATAACTTTAAAATAAATATATTATTTTTTTTTGGAATGCTTTTTATTTCAATTATACGGAACTCTCATAAAAGTATACCAGTAAATGCCTCTGGGTTGGATTCAACTGTGAATCTAGTTGCAATCAGTACTGAGAAGGAGAGCCTAGCACATCAGCAGATAACAGTTTAATTTAGAACATTTTTCAAGCCAAAAACACAGCATTTTATCCTGCTGTAAATTATGAAACATGTCATTTCCACCAGCATTAAAAATATTACAGGAAGAATAATTTTCAAGAAGTTTTAAATTTTCACTTTTCTTTTCACTGTATACAACTTCTTGCATGATGCTATGTTCCCCTCTTTTAAAGAAGGAATATAGCTAGATGAACCAATAAGTCTGCAAAACCAAATTCTTGAGCAGTTAGCTGAACTTTCTTCTTTAAATTAAGTCTATTCATTACAATATTGCTTGCCCTGATATCCATAAAACATCAAAAAAAATTTTCTTTATTATCAAAACAAATTCTGTTTATTGCTTTTCTCATCTAGGATGAATTTTTGCTGTAATATATATACTGTGTATATGTTACTGTGAAAGACCGAGATTTGGAGAATGTCGACATTCACCGTGGATATCAACATTCACATAGTCACTTGGTGCATGTCTAAAATATTTGCCAAATATCCTTATTTCTGATCAAATGTCAACCTACACCATTCACTAATAATGAATGTTGAATACGTCGGAGATTTGCATTTTGTTCTCCATATTTCAGGCGCCATAAAACTTCAAGAATGACGTAACGTGTTCGCCTGTCTTGCTGAGAAGAGTTGTTCGTACCTCTATAGAAGCATTTTCACTGTGAGACATGTAGCTTTTGATTCTAATGCGAGAAGGGCTACTCGATATTATTTTACTTCTTAATAATGACAGCAGTTGTGTTTGGATAAATGTTAAGCATTTAGTTCTAAATTTAGTCAATAAAGAACTATTTTTTTTACTTTTGCATTTATACCGTATATGCCAACAAGAGTCCCTTGCTTTTACAACTGCATTTAGTTGTGGAACACTTCCTTTTGAAGTGACAGTGTGTATAGCCTTGCCCTCTACTTCTCGAATTAACTGCAGCTGCTTCTCTCAGTGACATTACTTGAAATGGAATCTCATCTACGGAAAGTAACTTTTCTTTACAAATTATGAACTGATTACGGGTATAAAGGTGCTTGAAACTATCATTTTTATTTGCTAGTTTATAAAAGCCAGAGTCTTAATAAACAACTTCCAACACATTTCGGCCATCTATACGACCACGGTCGACATCAGGGACTTGTATTCGTACAGTATCACCAATTTGAGCAGGAGAAATTTTTTTTTCAGGTTCGTAACATTTTTGTTGCTTGTAGTAAAAGATTCCCTTTCACAGCCGATCTTTTTTATAGAAATAAACTCGTTTTGTTCAGTCCAGGCTTGATACGAAGACGTGATGAGTTGCAGGTCGTCCTCAATATTTTTCTTTGGAATGTGATTTTCGGTAGGCCACTGCTCTTTTTTCAGGAAAGTTCGCAATTTCTTTGCAGTATCCATCAACATAAATTGGGTATTGGATTAAATAATGAAAACGTTGCGCGTACCATGAAACCTAGAAAGACTGCAAGCATGTTCCAGAGTAAAAAATACAACCCAAACACAGTGTACGAGCAAAAATGGTGACAGACAGTCGGTTGAATTCATCACTCGACCTCCACCACAGTATATCTGTGATTGTCGACCACACTTTGATGGTCGGAATTTGAAAGAATATAACCAAATATTGGTCTTTCCCATGTATTTGTAGTGTGCCTCACCGGAATGTCGACATTCTCCAATTCACTTTTCACAGACATATACGTTACAAAGTCCAACTCGGACGCGTCGGGATTTCATGATTCCGATATTAGTCATCAATTAACTTGGGTAAGATGCATGCAGAATTATACAATTAATGATGAATCATAATTATGAAATAAAGAGTAATTATGTCTAAAGGGTAAATTTTACAAAAAAAAAAAAAAAAAAAAGCTTAATATTTATTGTTATTTTATTAAACATTTATTTCAATGTAACTTGTTTAAGTTGCTTCGTTTTTTGTGCTAATACTTTCTCTCTAATTCTATAAACAGACATAATTTCTTGTTCACTTACAAAGTTCCACTGTTCAAGTCCTGTAATTGCCGAGTCGAGAATACCGACTAATATACTTGTCAATCGAATACCGACTTGCCAATCGAAACCTTTTCATTTTCAATAACCTCTCTGTCACTTTCTTCACTATTGGTAGCGGTATTTTCTGGATCTAGAACTATATTACAGATTTCACCATCCATTAATTGATTGATGATTGGGGCATTGTCATCACAATGAAAAACTTCTGTTATATCATTTTCATTTATTACCGCTTCTACACATTTCTTTACAAAATCTGGAAAATTTCACCTTTAGTTTGCGATATTCGAAAACCATCAAATTCACGGCTATCATCTTCGTCGTCTTCACCATGAAATATGGTAGCTGGCGATAAATTACGCAAAGCACTTTTTAACGTATCTGGAGACATTCTGCCACCATCTTACGATGCTCCACACAGCAGATTTATGGAAAAATTTCAAAGTTCTTGATAGTCTTGCTTGTTCAAGAATTAAGATGGCTTTAAAAATGCTTTATATTTGTATTTCAGTGCGCACACTATTCCGATATCCATAGGCTGAATGACAGATGTACAATTTTGGAGGGAAGAATAATACGGATACATTATCTTTCACTAGAACTTTAAGTGAAGTATGAGCCACACAGTTGTCTATACAATCAGGACTATTTTTGAGTCATCTCTCGGGTATAAAATGATTTTCAAACCAATCATTCATTAACGCTTGTGTCATCCATGTTGTTTAATTTGCACGATATATGGGAAAGTCGTTACTCCTTTAAATGCGCGAGGTCGTGCACGTTTTCTGGTTACGAAAAGTTTGCATTATAAAAAACTTCTTATCCCTTAATTTTGCCGCTTGATGCTTCCCCAAATTCCAAAAATTTTGTCTTCTCTAAATTCTGCCGTTTGGTGACGACACATTCTGCCGCAGCTTCTGGGTTTATGGTGAATAACATATGAGTTACTCTTAATTAAAAAAGGACTAAATGTTATTTTATCGCCTATGAGTTTCATTAACAAAATCTATTTTGAGCATATGAAAAGAAATTTTTGTTGAATTTTTTCTCGTCAACATTTCTTACAGCATTTAAAAATCTATAATCATCGCCAAGTGTAATGTTAGCATAAAAAGTTGCCTTATTCTTATTATTTATTCAATTACTAATATATATTAAAAAAAGGGTACTATTCGGTTTTGAGGGGCCGTAAAAAATCGCCAAACTATTGTTGATGCCAGTTCTGCCAAAAATAATAGCGGCAACCCTAACGCAAGAAAGGAAGTATAATAGCAAATAATTATCTAAGATTGATGTTTCAAATTTAGAATCTTTTTCCCATCATTTTACTGCCTGCTTGAATTAAAAATAATTGTAATTAATGAACTACTGTTGATTGAAGTTGTCAATATCTACTCACGTGTGCAGTTTCTATTATTAACCTGGTTTAAAAATAAGAAAAACTTAATTACCTTTTCTTGTGTGCAGAGACTGAAAACACAATTTCTTAGTTGAAAATAGAATCTTCTTCATGGAAACACAATTTACTTTGACACCATTTTTTTGATTCACACATCACATTAAGCATTGAAAAGGATAAACAAATATTTAAATGCTGTTTCATAAGTGTTACATTTACTGTCTATTTCTTATTTATGGTAGTAAAATTATATGAGGGACCAGAGTGGCTAACTTTGATTTTCTTACATGCCCTAACTGGCAAGAACCCGAACTGAAAACTGTGTCCATTAAGAGAAAAAAAAAAAGGTTTAAATTTTCGCTCACTAGTGAAACCCCTGGGATCATCTAGTGAGGGAAAGAAATAGTGAATGAAATGAATTTAAAAATGAATATCTAACAATAGTATTTTAATGACATCATCTAAGGAATAAGTAATTAAAAGCAGCAGATTGCATGATTATCCAAGTAACTCCATTTATACTGATCATGGCATGTTGTCAGTATCAACACCGAGTAATTTACAAAATAAATTTAAAGAGAACTGTTGATAATAAAAATCATTAAATAATTTCTCAATATATCTAGGTTTGTTTTTGCAATATCTCCAACAGATTTTATTTTAGTTAATATATCTTGTTTTGAAAGGCACAAATTTCTGCAAGATGCTGAAAATAAGTAAATCTTTTTATCCAAATTGTGCCTCCCAAAGTTTAAGCCTGGTCATGAACGCTTTGATGTGATCAAACAGATTACACACCAGTCAATATTCAAACTGCACCCAAGCACTTAGTTTATTCATGCGCAATGAGATTTACTTAGAAAGGCAATTTTGTCATCCACTTTGTGTCATTGAATTCCCCAAATCATTTCCT